AAGCTCGCGGAACAAGCGGGCCAAATGCATCCAATGGCTGCTATTTTTATTATTTTGGACATCCAATTATGTTACTCTGTAGTGATTCTTGAAGGATTATTCTTGATTGTGCTGGTCTGATGATGCAGAGAGAACCTGTTTCTTCATCACATTTTCAATGTGTAGCTGAGCCACTTTTTCTTCCTTCTTCCCTTCTAAGCCTCGGTTTCTTTTTTTCCCTCCTTTTTTCCCCCCCTGACTGGACTTTTTTTTTTTTTTTTTCTTTTTTTTTTTTCACTCAGTCTCCCCCTCCTCGATTCCAATTGGTGAGCCCCAGTGTGTGTGTATTGTTTCGTGTCATGTATTGATTGTCTTCTCCTTCTTTCATCCGCTTAAAACTCCCGAGGCTTTTACAACCCAAGCCTCGCTTACATAAGTCATCCCATGTCCAAACCCAAGCCAAAAACTTGGACAAAAAAAGAAAAGAAAAAAAGTCGGCGAGTCGGTGCCAAACGCGTCGGAAACTCGGCGGGCTGAATCGCCGTTGAACTTCCCACAGACATTCTTGGCCCAGGTAAGCCTATTCCAGAACCCGAAACCGCCTATCGGAACCTTCCGAATCGTGTGCGAGTGTGTGTGGTCTATTCTTTTTTCGATTCTTCTTTTCTTCTTCTTCTTCTTCTTCTTCTTTTTTCTTCTTCTCTTCTTCTTGTTCTCTTTATATGGACCTCGATCCTCGGTTGCGGCCTGGCGATGGAGAGGCGACCGGGGTGAGCAACTCGAGTCCGTCTCCGGCCGGGCAGCTACAGTCGAGCGCTTCGTTGGCTGGGCGCGGTCGAGACAATGCCGACACGCCGTCGACGGTGGGCAGCACGCCGCAGTATCACCAGGCGGATCATGCGGCAGCCGGATCTGGAGCCGGAGGAGCTGGAGCTGGAGCTGGAGCTGGTGTTGATGCTGGAGCTGGAGCTGCGGGAGGAGGAGACGCTGACGCAGCTGCAGCCGCCGATGCAAAGAAATCGAGAGCTTGCGAGGCCTGTCGCGGCCTCAAAGTCCGCTGCGAACCCGATGCCGTCGACGGCGAGCCCTGCAAGCGGTGCCGCAAGGCTGGCCGCAGCTGCGTCGTCACCGTGCCGACCCGGAAGCGCCAGAAGAAGACGGACAGCCGCGTGTCGGAGCTGGAGAAGAAGATTGACGCCCTGACGGCGAGCCTCCACGCGAGGGCCGGCGTGCCTGGGGGTCTCAACCCGCTGGGTGGACAGTCTCAGTCGCAGCCTCAGTCACAACAATCGCAGCATCAGCATCAGCATCAGCATCAGCATCGACAACACCAGTCGGACGCTTCCACGGGCGGATATCAAACGGCGGCAGCAGCAGCAGGAGGGGGAGGAGGATGGGTCAATCCGGCGGTGGCGGGGAGCGTCAGGCCGTGGGGAGGCATGGAAGCATCGCCGCTGATGCACTCGGCTTCGACGCCGCCCAATCCAACACCGCAGGACGACGTCTCGAGTTTCCAGCCGCCCATCGTCATGGCCGGCCAGAAGCGAAAAGCCGCCGACCGTGATGCCCTCGGCAGCGACGACCACCACGGCCACAAGGCCCTGACGCCGTCGACGAGCTGGTCCGGCTTCTCCAGGCCCACCGAGGGCGACATTGTCGACCGCGGCCTCATCACCATGGAGCACGCCACGGGCCTGTTCAACAAGTACAAGGAGCACATGGTGCGACACCTGCCGGCCGTCGTGTTCCCGCACAGCGCCACCGTCATGGAGCTGCGCAAGACCAAGCCCACGCTGTTCCTGGCCATCATGGCCGCCGCCACGGGCGAGAACCACTCGCTGCAGCGCGTCCTGCAAAAGGAGCTGATGCAGCTGTTTGCCGAAAAGGTCATTGTCACGGGCGAGAAGAACCTCGAGCTGGTCCAGGCCATCCACGTCGCCGTCATCTGGTACTGGCCGCCCGAGCACTTTGAGGAGCTCAAGTTCTACCAGCTCATCCACATCGCCGCCGTCATGGCCATCGACATTGGCCTCGGCCGAAAGGGCGGCTCGAGACGCGGCCCTCCGCCCTTTCGCCGCAACCCGCCGCCCGACTCGTCCAGCATCGAGTGTCGCCGGGCGTGGCTGACGTGCTTCTTCCTCGCCCTCAACACGTCCATGTCGCTGCACCGCCCCAACCTCATCCGCTGGACGCCCTTCATGACCGAGTGCCTCGAGATTCTCGAGACGTCGCCCGACGCCGCGCCCACGGACAAGTACTTTTGCCACCTGGTGTGGACGCACCGCCTGGCCGAGGAGGTGGGCTCGCAGTTTTCGCTCGACGACCCGTCGACGCTGGTCAACATCACGGATGCCAGGACGCAGTACGCGTTGAGGGCCTTGGAGAGGGACCTCGACAAGTACATTGCGTCGATTCCCAAGAATCTGATGCAGCGTGAGTTTTCCAACATGATTCTGTTCGATTTTTTTTTTTGACAATGTACTAACAATGTTCAAGATACTCTGCGTCTCAACTTCAACGTCGTCAACCTCTACATGCATGAAATGGCCCTCCACTCCGATACCATGTCCGACCAGTGGCGGCCCCCCTTCAACACCGACGCCCTCAAAGACGGCATCGTCAACTCCGAGCCCCTCTCCGCCGCCCACATCAACGCCCTCTCGGCATGTCTCACCGCCATCGACGGCATCTTCAACACCTTTTTATCCATGGACGTCCTCAGCATCCGCTGCCTCCCCGTCTTCAACTTCATGCGAGTCGCGTACGGCGTCGTCATCCTCATCAAGATGTACTTTTCCGCGTCCAGCCCGGGCTCTGAAATGGGCAAAGTCATTCACAAGGACAATATGCGCGTCGAGTACTACCTCGAGGCCCTGCTCGACAAGTTTCGCGCCACGGCCGCCGACAACAAGTGTCGTCCCGCCGCCAAGTTTCTGGTCGTGCTGGCTATGCTCCGTAGCTGGTTCTTCAAACAAGGCAAAGAAGGGGGTGGCGGCGGTGGAACAGCGTCTCCCGAAGAAGGCGACGGTCCCTGTTCGTCGTCATCACAGCAGAAGCAACAACAGCAGTACACAGCTCAGGGCACACAGCAGCAGCAGCAGCAGCAGTTGCAACAACAGTTGCAACAACAACAACAACAACAACAACAACAACAGCAGCAGCAGCAGCAGCATCTACAACCGCCCCAGCAACAATCTCGACAACAAAACGTCAATACTCCGCTCCAGCTCCTCTCCGAAGTTGCAACCACCGGCCGAGACGGCAGCGGTGGTGCCGCAGCCCACATCTTTGCCGGCCTCAACGGCACCGGCAGGCACCACGCCCAGCCCTTCTTCCACGACGCCGTCTCCTCCACCGGCACCCCGCCGGCGTCCGTGTCCAACGCTTCCTCCGTGCCCCAGCAGCAGCAGCAGCAGCAGCAGCAGCAGCAGCAAATCCCGGGCCCTTCCCCGTCGTCTACGGATCTCGATTCCGCCATGGCGCCGGCTTTCCCGCCCTGGATGTCTGCCGCCCAGCCCATGGTTCCTACGGACCTGGACGTGGGTTCCATGCCGACGAATTTCGACATTGAGGGCCTGAATCTCGCGGCGTCGGATTTGTCGGACATGTACGAGAGCGGAGCAAAGATTGTCATGAACGAGCCTTGGTTTACGGATGCTTTCCAGGGCCTGCCGGACCCGAATCTATTCCCCTTTTGAGTTTATCCAATTAGTAAAGGGGGGGAGTACTACCAAGGAGATTGAAAATATGTGTTTATTCGTACATGGGATATGTATGACTAGGAGCCATGCTGGACTAAACTACCTCTCAAGGAGTTTTTTCTTTTAGGAGGGACCGGTTTACGGTTTTTTTTTTTTTCGATGATTGTCCTTACATACGTCTTGCGGATTCCGTGGTGAGTGAATCCGACAGAGTTAGGTGTTATTGATATTGACTGGGATGGACTGGACTGGACAGGACCGAATTGGCTAGTTTTCTATATATATTAGGGAAGCGGTGTTTTACTACAACTTTGTTTATTTGTTTATTTATTTTGTTTGCTTTTAATGATCAAAATACCCCATCTTTCGTTATACAACTACTACTGTGCCAAACGAGCAATTACATGTTACGTACCTACTGCAACGCATAATGTGTGTATAACATATTCATTACTGGCTACTAGTAGTTCACAGAATCATGCACACAGATTCTTCATTCACACGTAAACCGTCCCCATGTCTTCTAGAATGTGTTTCCATTTCAACTTGTCCCATCAAAATAACAAGCTAGATAAAAGCAATCTTTCTCAGTTTGAAAATCAACATGGCCAGGATGCTCTCCCAGTTCCCAGGGCTGGCCATTTCCCATCGCTAAAAAAAAAAACCAGCAACGCCGACGCCAGCGCATCGTCCCATCAGACGATGCCAGAAGCCTTGTCCTGCAGCTCGTAATTCATTCTTTTGCCCTTGTCTGCCAATATCTCCCCCTCTCCCATCAAATCCGATAGTTGTACACGAGGTTGAGAAATAAGCCCCGGCTTATCCTTGTGTCCCTTTTCCCACCTCCCATGATAGTTGGTGACAAAAATGTCAAAAATCCCACGCATCCGCAGCAGTCTCACAAAATCTCCACACAAATTAGCAAGATTGTGCATCTGGTCAGTTGGCTTTTTTCCTGCATCGTACGATGTGCCCGTTTTATGAGTGTTTTTTTGTTGTTTTGGTGGTTCGTTCAATTCAGTCAACGTCAACTGCAGTGCACAACAGTGTACAGCCGCTGAAGAAGTAGTTCAGCGGCGTGAAGAGCCTCGAATCGTACAGAAACGAATAATAGAACCAGACGCCGGTAAAGTACTGAAACTCGGACGCAGAAAATGGAAATGTCGCTGAAGAAAAGCAGAATGGCGCGAGAATATGCCGGCGCAAAGACAAGCACAACGCAATGCACTCATGAATGGACCAAGCAGTACTTTTGCAACTTCCAGTGGCGATTATAGTCATAGCAGTAGCCGTGGAAGCGCAGCGGACTGGACATGCTCATCAGTCCATGTAAAAGTCGCCCTTGAGGATTCTCTCCTGGAAAGCATCGGGCTTGGGGCGTTCCGGCTGCTTGGGCTTGACAGAGGATGCCTGCGCGGGAGGCTGCGGCATATCGGAGATGGACTTTGAGCGGTCATGGTTTGGCATCGCCCTCGGAGGAGAGTGGGAACCGGTGCCCTGGAAGGAAAAGGAGGGGCGAGCCCCGGTGACGGAGCTCTCGGCGCGGGATCTAAGCTGTTCGGACCAATTGAAGCCAAACTGGTCTGTTCGAGAAGCAGGATTGTCAGAAGAGGCTCTTGGATGCTGGACGTTGCTTGCCTGAGGATGAGAGGATGGGGCGCCGTGAAGGCTGGACCGGCGTCCGACCGCGGGCCAGGCGCCAGATATGGAAACCTGACGCTGGTGCGGATAGGATTGGGACAGCAACGGGAGCCACTGGTCCCCATGACCACCCTGGTTGCGTCCGAGCGATGACGGGGGAGGAGGAGACTTTGGGGATTTACCATTTCCGGGGCTGCCTCCTGTGCGCAAGTTTCTCATGGCATTGTTGCCTCCAAAACTCATGTGGCGAACAAAAGGCGTGGTCGGGGCCGTTTTAGGGCCGTTGAAGGCATCTTCGTCCTCAATGACGTTCTCGTCAATGGAATCCGAGTTGGAGTTGGTGGACATGCTGCCGCGCCGCATGAAGGACGAGTTGTTGGAGGGAGAGGTGCCGGAGAGCCCAATGGTGGTGATTGACAGGCGCCGTCTCTGCGAGTCTGCATTGCCGTTGGCGCTGGGGAAGGGAGGTCCGCTCGAGCCGTTGGACGGCCCTCGCTGGAACAGGTTGGACAGGGCAGCCTGAGTGATTGAGCTGCGGCGGTGGCCGGAGCCGGGACCGGGACCGGGACCGTTTGTGTCGGACATTGTTCTGTTGTGTGGAGGAGGGGTGGAGAGAAGAACCAAGGTCTGAGAGCCGAGGAATATGAACAGAGAAGGTATAAAGGCAGTGAGACGGAAAGGAGCAGAAGGAAACGAGACGGCGGGTGACGGCGGTTTGGTGGTGACGGGAAGCCTAGGGCGGTGGGATTGCGAGTCGTTTGTCCGTGGTTTGGATGGATTGTCCGTGGTGGGCGGGTTAGACGGCGATGGTCGAGGGGGGGCGCAGAATTGCCCGTGGGGGGTGACGTGTGCGACAAAGGAGAGGGAAGACGAGGATGATGCCGTTGGCGATGCAAGAGAGGAGAGATGTGTGTAGATGGTAAGAAGAAGGAGAGAAGAAAAAAAGAGAAGAAGAGAAGAGAGAAGAGAGAGAGAAGAGAGTTGAGAGGCGAAAAGAGGGGATGGCGGCACGTGGAGGATGCTTATATAGATGGATGGTCGAGATGGGCCTGTACTGTCTTGTGTAATGAACAGAACAGGACAGAATAGACACGGGGCGGGAAACGGACGGTATCGTCGGGCACGGAGGAGAAGCGTCGAGGATACAGTAGCGTTTGGGTTCGTTGGCTTTACTAAGTCGGAAGAGGGAAAACGGGCTGTCGAGAGCGAAGAAATGAGGTTGGTGGCATGTACAGTAACAGTAACAGTAACAGTAGCAAAAGGGAAGGAGGGAGGAGATCAGCATCTGGATATTAATGGACAAGCGCTGGCCGTGGCGTGGAACTGGCTGGAACTGGGGGTGGTGTGAGGTGGTGTGGCTCGTTGCGTAATGCCGAGGCGTGCGTGGAGTGATTTTTGCAATGGGATGGCTTCATGGTTGATGATGACCTTGATTCACGGGGCTAGGGGTTGGTGGTAGTACGAGTAGTTAGTAGGTACCGAGCAGGTATCTGGGCAGTCGGGGCTGGGTACTCTGCAGCGGCGGGTACATGATGGTTGTTGGGAAACCAAGTATCTCGCCATTGTGCGTGCCCGTGTTGTGAGGCAATCAGCACTAGCAAAGGGTACTTGTCCGAGGTGTGGCCGCAGGTACCTCGGTGAGGGGGTGCCTTGGCAGGTGGGCTGACAGGAGCTCAGCGATACCGGTCGACAACTGCGGTGCCCCGAGAACGGAGATCAGCTCAGGCAGCGCCCCGGAAGCAGCGCCGAGGCAGCCATGCAAACGCCTCCTTGTTGGCTTTGAACGCATGACTTTTGAGACGCGTTGGAAAAAAGGGAGAAAGAGAGGATGAAGCAAGGCAAGTTTGACAAAAGGAAAGAAGAAGAGAGGAGAGGAGAGGAGAGGAGAGGAGAGGAGAGGAGAGGAGAGAGGAAGACAGAGGAGGTGGACAGGACAAGACGACAAAAGACAAGGGAACAAGAGACACAAGCGACTCAGAAGCAGCAACCGAGACAACCAAGATATTCTCCGAAGCTCTGGGAGGCACGGGCACGGTCGAGCACAGGACACGCTGCCAGATTCAATCTTCAACCCATTTCGAAGGAAGCCAAGCCTGTGCATGGACGCATCTCACACCAAGGCTAATGTAATGTACGAGCACGTACCAAGGCATGCCACACGGAGTAATGCCGCGTTCGACGTCTGTCCAGTCCAAGCGGGGTGACGACTCGGTGCATGGCCATGTCGCTGCACGATTACGGAGCACGGAGGACGCCGCCCTTTTGCTTGCTGCTTGTGCTTGTACGGAGTACTATACGCCTCGTGCATTGGTGATGGACACAAAGGAACGTGTATGAACACTGTATAGTATGTACATATGATGGCACTGCTGACGAAATGCACAAGCAAGGGGTGGGCGCCCTCGACGGCTGCGGCTCCGGAAGAGAACCAGCAATGAATGGGAGCGCCGATGGGCAAGACAACGGATCTGACATCTGTCGGACCCCTAAGTTATCCAGCATCCCATTCGCCCATCCTTATTAGCAACGCAACGTGGCAGCAGAGAGACCGTTGCAGGCGCGAATCAGACGAAAGACAAGAAAAGTAGGTACGAGTAGATACCTACTCCGTCGACAGAGAGAACAGGCAAGGGGGTTGGTTGCCGACGACAGTTTGTCTCGGCCGCGTATCGCATATAGCCAGCCCGTTTGGGTGGCCAGCCAACCATGGCCGCAGCCAAGAGATGCAGTAGGCGTGCCCAAGAGATATAGAGACCTCTAGCTGCCGCCGTCCATGGAAGCGCCATCCGGTCGCTCGCTAAAAGGCCACCATCGACATGGGGAGGGAGGCCGGGACAGAGCCAAGGGCGAGAGGCTTCCAGACTTTCTTCTTGTCCAACCATTGTCTGACGATTAGCCTGGGCTGTGACGTGCCAATCAAGCATCCGGTCCGTCATTGATCAATCAATTGTCTTGCCCGCGATCGGTGGGGTCTGCGGGGGCAAGCGGCCTCGATCTGACGGCGTGGGTCGTGGGCGAGATGACTGTCTGGGACCCCTAGAGCTGCTACCGTACGTTGGTTCCTTGGCCTTTTTCTCTTCATCTCTTGGATAAATCTGGCGGGGGAGACTCGACGGCCTTGTTTCGCCTTCTGTCAAGGGCGCCGCAAACTTGGCTTGCTTGGTCAAGGAAACTGGTCTTGTCTTGCTGTGTCGCCAGCACCTCAAGGGTGGCAACATGGTCGAATAGCCTGCGACGATCGCCAGGCTTGTTTTGCGCACCAAGTGCGGAGTGCTCGGTACCGCCGTCATCACCTGGTGTCTGCAAGCAGCATCCGTTCACGATGCCATTGTCATACCCGTCGACGTTCCCTTTGCAGCCTCTACCTCGCGCCATCATGTCGCTCTACTTTGTTTTCCCATCTTCCGCCCCCCCCCCCCCCCCCCCCTGCTTCGCAACTGTTGAACCGCTACTCTCGCGCCCGCAAGAAAGCAAAGCGAGGGGTGGCAGCACAGCGCTGTTCCAGTCGCGATCTCTCGTACAGTAAGTAGCTTGTACTAGCACAAGCGTTTCCTAGCGCAGGTGGGTGTGGACTTGGTTCGCGCGTCTCTGTTGGTCGGCCCAGGGTTGATATACTATACTCGTATGCAGATATGCAGCAGTGTGCTGAAGTCTGGTCCGCTGCGCCGCACGTGCAAGAGGAAGAAAGGTGAGCGAGGCCTAAAACAAAACGGTCGGTAGTCGCTCAGTAGCGCCAGCGTTGCGTGTTGACTGCGACACACCGTGGCCGCGATGGATGATGAGATGGAGGGATGGATGGAGGAAAGAATCCGACCGCAAGCGACCGACCAGGAAGCATGTGTGCCCAACGCGGCGCCCAGCGAGCGAGAGGGCATCTGCCATGCAGTTTTCCTTCACCGACTGATTGACTGCATGTTGTCGGTTTTGGTTTATGCGTGTGTCTGAGTATGTACCTGTGTGTAGTGTGTCTCCTGGGTTGAACACGAGGGTGAAGATGAAGGTGGTGAGCGTGGGCATAATTCGGCATTGCAGTAATGAGCAACGAGCAACAACGTCGGCGCCGGTCACTGAAGTGAAGCAGGACTGAACAGCGACTCCTTCCTTCAATCTCTCTGTCCCCCGCACCCACAAAGGCACTCTTTGCTCTCCCCCTTTCTTTGCACCTCTCCGGAGAAACTCCCCCCTGACAGCATCAATCTTCAACATCACCATCGCTTCTACTAGGTATTCTCACCACTTATCACGTATCGCTTCTGCTGGTCCACCCATTACCGAATCAATTCCAGTAATAATGCCAAAAGCAGCTCCCAGGTCAATCCCCCCTCGCCACTTCGCTCCTCCCCCTTGCAATTCAATTCAATTCAGAAATCCGGCCAGCCGTCCAATCACCGCCCCGGACAACGTGCAAGGCCTCTGAGCTAGAATCTGCCGGCCACGGGCCGCTGCCAATCAGCAACTGGCCGGCGTTGCAGCAAGAAGGAGCCACTCGAGGTGCCACCCAGCATTTTGCGGGGTAACGGTTAGCCTTGACGCAGGCAGGGAAGGAACACACGCACACGCCCCCTCTTTGCTCGACACACCCCCTCCCCTCCGTCACTGTCTGTCTCTTTCCTTGGTTCCAGCCAGTTCTCTTGGTGCTGCTTGCTTTCTCCTGTACCTAGGTAGTTACTGTACGTACCCGTACTGCTTGTTCTCCTTATTGAATACTGGCAGGTACATACAGCCCAAGGTGATGAATCCACACTGGCCGCTAACAGCCCTAGACTGCCAAACTGCCCCCCCGACAGCCGCAGTAGCCTCTGCCACTACTGCACTGCTAACACCTAGCACGACTGAGTACCTCCCCGGTACCGCACAATGGCAGCAGTCGCGGCGCGGTAACTCCGTATCTGCGACGTGCACCGCAGTAGCACCGTGCTAGAGGCAATGCGCACTTCCAGGACAGGCGCCCGCTAGCCCGCGTCCAGCAAGTCCAAACGGATGGGACCTCCAACCTCTTGTTCGCTGCCATTGAAGATCGCCAGAATACTAAGTATAGGAGAATGAGGAGGAACAAGGAGAAGAGGCCAGATTGTCCGTCTGTCTTTTGCATTGCATTAGCACTCGGCAGTTTGACTCGTTTTATGACAAGCTACGACGAAATACGAAGCACACCGCGCAGGGAACGCAACGCAATGCGACGCAATGCTGCAGGGCGGCTGTCGCTCTGAAATCCGCCTCCATGTACCGCGTCCGCCTTTTTGTCACAGTTAATACAGTACTAGGTATGGATTGGAGTTTGGGGACCAACGCTCCCGTATCACCAGATGGTCTTCCTGGGGCTTCTGCAAGATGAGGCACGGCAAGCAGAACAAGGTCCATCTCAAACTTCGCAATTATTTCGGCTCTCGATGTCTTCGGTACAGTTTTGACTGACAGTATTCTTGCAAACGGACGCACCACCGTATGAGGCAACAATTACCGTCCATCATCTCCCCGCCTGCACATCACACAGCCAAAGTTTGTCGATCAGCGCAAATCAACCGCCAACAACTCCGTATCCAGCCAGAACTTGGTTTCAACTTGATACAGAGGGTACATACAGTACACGATGCAACATCATCAGCCCATCATCGCAACATACTTACTGTACGAGTACATACCTCTCTCTCCATCATGCTGGCAAATCGCCGTTCTCGCAACTTCCGTCAACTTGTCGACGACGCATGTGATAACCGAACCATTCATGTAGCACCGACAGGCAGCATGGCATGACCCGTGCGTTTGAAACCCCCAAATGCAACGGCGCTTCTCTCCTGACATTGTACACGTTGCGTGTTTTTCATCTATCCGAGTACTACCGCAGACGGCCACAGTCGAGCCATGGACATGGACCGCCGCAGTTCGAGTCGAGAAGCCGTCCCTCGCAGCCGCCATGATATAATGTTGTCCCTTTTGATTCCCGAAATAGGGCTTTCCAAATTCAAAAATCGCCGGTTTCACCTTTGTCTGCGGAACCCCTCTCGCCACTGCCACTGGGCAAACATGACAGCTCGTCCCGCGTACAAACGCACCGCTTCCATTGGCTTCATCGCTGCAATAAGCTGATGGTGGCGCCATCCTCTGCTGCCGACAGCATCCAAGACGCAGCCTGGAAGCGTTTGGACCCCTCGCCTCGCACTGTCGCGAAACAGAAGTGGCATTCCCTGCAAAGGTGAGAGAGAGCAAGGGTCGGGGCTAAAAGCCTGGGCCGCCCGGGGGTCCCTCTCCTCGTCATGCAAGATTATCTCTGCCTATGAGATTCCGACCCAAGGATGCACTAGCACCTCTTAGCCAGCGACTTGTCAAAAAGCCAATCTGCGGGGAATGCAACAAATGACCCTTTTAACCTTTGGCGTCTTATAGCACACTTTGCTGAGTCGAGGCGGAGCACGTGGCCTTGTGTGATAAGAGATGATGGAGGCTTTGCTTGAAACTCTGATTTCCTATCATGAGGATGTTGGCTGTGGACTATCTCCATACAGATGTAGGAGATTGGTTGTAAGCCCGCAGATCTCTCACCAACCGTAGGAGAGGCTGAAACGAAGCAACGCTTGAAGCAACAAACGACACGTTGCGCCTCGCGACAGTGGGATCATGATGAGATATCACGTACGACGAGCCTCCAATTGAATCGAGATGGCGCGTTTGTCTAGATGAGGAGAAAATGATGTGCTGCAGGTGAGTCTCAGGCTGTCTGCATTGTCTTGATGCACTATGACGAGGGCTGTGACGAGGGCTCCTGAACTGTACCTGTCTTATTCATCTCGATGGATCGGCAAGTCATGAGGAGAAGCTATTCGCCACCGGCCCCTGACCAACAGCGTTTGAATCCCTTTTTTCTGGAGGTGTGTGATAGGCTACATGATCCAACGCTTCACATCCCATGTACAACATAGCAGCCTTGCCTTTGTAATTGGACGTACCCGTACCACAAACTCCCTCCCTAGGATAGATCTTCGGGGCGATCGACAAGGAGTGTTTCCAGTACAAACAGCCTCAAGACACAACACACAGCGCCTCACAAATGTGTCACGGGAATGCAAAATTTCTTGAAGTCGAGTATTGGTTTGTATCAAAACTTCAGTCTGTTTCTTCGGATTCAGTTCTGGCACCCTTGTCGCGTAGCATCTGGGCTATATTGTGGTACCCCCGAGATTGAGCAGCATTAAGGGCAGTACCATATTTTCCACCTCGAGCATTGACGTTGGCACCCTTGTCAAGCAGCATTTGGACTACTTCATCGCGTTTATTGTCCGAGGCAGCATATAGAGCATTGTCGTAAAATCCGCCCTGGGCATTAACGTCGGCACCTTTATCAAGTAGCATTTGGACTATTTGATCGCGTCCTTTGTATGAAGCCACCTGGAGAGGATTACCGTAGAATCCGCCTTGAGTATTAACGTTGAAGTTGTTGTCAAGCAGTAGCTGGACTACTCGAACGTGCCCCCTTTCTGAAGCGACGTAGAGGACATTACTGCGCCATTTACCTCTGGCATTAACGTTGATGTTATTGTCCAGCAGCATTTGGGCGATTTTATCGTGTCCCCCTTCTGCAGCGCCATGGAGAGCATTGCCGTAATAACTGTCTTTGGCGTTGACGTTGGCGTTGTTGTCAAGCAGCATCTGGACTATCTTGGCGTGCCCTCTATATGAAGCGCCGTATAGAGCAAAGCGGCGATGTTTGCATTGAGCATCGACATTGGCGTGATTGTCCAGCAGTATTTGGACTATCTTGTCGTGTCCACGGTATGAAGCAGCCACGAGAGCAGTACCATATAGTCCGCCTCGAGCATTAACGTTGGCACCGTGATCAAGTAGTATCCGGACTATCTTGTCGTATCCGTCACCTGCAGCGGCCTGCAGAGCATTGGCGTAATCACCCCTCCGAATGCTGATGCCGGCATTTTTTTCAAGCAGCATCCGAACTATCTTATCGTGTCCGTTGCATATTGCAGCATTTAGAGCAGTGCGGCATTGGCCGAATTGATAATGAACGTTTGCATCCTTTTCGAGCAGCAGCCGCACTGAAAAACACGAGCCTCCAAGTGACGCGAAATACAGAGCTAACGAGATGTCGTATCGCCTTGGTTGAAACTCGTGATTCTTCCATGGGTCAGGGTTGTAGAGTCCATAGCAAGTCATCTGAGCCCCTTCGCAAGAAAGAAATTCTGCAATGAGTGCACAAACTTCTTTGCTGCTGCTTTCTACTACGACAGCATGATCCATCCAGTATCGTGCAGAGTATTGCGCCAACCAGTATGACCGTCGAAGCTCTTCGACTGGAAAGCTTTTGTCTAGCTCCAGCAAGTATGCAAGGCATACTTGTGCAATGGAAGCTCTGGCGGCTGCTTCGTCAAAGTCTTTGGCAAAGCTTTGTGGCACTCTGTGAGACAATAGATAGTCTTTGACTGACAGGTGCGCAAGCTGAAGTTCCTGTATGGCCTCCTCGTTTCCCTGAGCTTTGATGGTCGTTTTGACGGTCAATACAACCAAGCTAGAGCAGTAGCTTATAATCTCCTTAGGGACTGGCATTCTATTTGATGGATCAAACCGGGGGCTGTTGGTTGTGTCTACAGCCATTGCGTCAACGGCTTCTTTGATTGTCAGTGGGCGTTCGGAATATGCTAGAAATTGCAGAAGGCGTCGTGTATGATGCTCATGCTCACGAGGCAAGTTGGTCAAGATCCGAGCATATGTTTCATCCAACGTCATAGGGAGGGAGTTGAGTGCTTTTTGTAACGTTGGATAGTCAAGACAGTTTTCGAGTGCATCGAGCTGGCACGTAACCCAGCGAAACCTGCGTTGTATCAGTAGATGCATGTGTAAGAAAAAAATTGGTGAGCTACCTACATTCCATTTGCCTTCTTTGATAGCCTTGTTTCAATTTCGTGTTGAACCTCAGGCCGGCACCTCCATCTTTTCAGAGGGCTTTTATCACTTTGAACTCTTGCGTTGACGTAGGCAACTATATCATCCGCAACTCGTCCGCTCTGAACTGGAATAATGTCCTGGCCACGAGCCCATGATTCGATAGAAGATGCGATGTCTTGTTCGGGACGAGCTGTGACTAAGAGATGAATGTTGGTCTGTTGGGATGTTGCCAAAGTTTCTATCGATGTCAAGAGGCCTCCTGTTGGATGTTCTTTGCGCGTCTGGCACTCATCGAGCGCGTCGAGTATTACGTGGATTTCACCACCGTGTTGCAACATGTTTCGGAACGTTGCAAAGAGCTGATCGGCACTTGGCTGAGTTATTCCCTTTCCGCAAGAATCATAGAGCGAGTCCAAAGGCTTTTGAGTATTCTCGTTTTTGCAATAGAGCTGCAAGACGAGTGAGCCGAGCGCCTTGTCGAATAGCCGCTTATCTCTATTGGTAAAATCGAAAAAGAAGTATAGTACGTTCTTAACATTATTGTCTTCCAGATCTTTGACGATGGTAGCAGAAAGCACGGTCTTGCCGCACCCGGGAATACCTTGGAGCCACAAAAAGGAGTTGGGCCGGGATTTCCACAGAGAATATTCTTCACTCTGAAGGAACCATTGACCGGAATCTCCATAGCGATGCTTGATGCCATTGTTGTAATTTTCTGATGGATTGGGAGGCGAGAGCCATCGACGAAGCTTTTGAAGATGGTGACTTGTCTCCAAGGTTTGGACAACAGCGTGGGTTTGTCTGCTGCTCTCTGCCATTTGAGCAACTTCCTGACTAACTGGAGAGACTGGTCATTCTTTAGAATTCTTTCAGGGTTAAATACACGAGACTAACGGTGTTGAATGGCTTCTTCTATTGGGGGGGTGCTCTCAACATCCTCCCCGTCTATGGTGTTCAACAGTTCCTTTGCAAATGCAGCCGCAGTCGCAGCTGCGTAGTTCTGCCAACGGTCGTTCTTGTGTGTATCCGCATAGTCACAGACTCCCCTGATGACTAGGCAAGGGAAGTTGTTCATTAGGCCAGCTGCTTCCATCTCAAAGCAAATGCATTTCTCTTCAAGCCGCTGCAGGATTTCGTCTCGAGAAACGCCGTCTTTTATGACCAAGTTCCCTGAGGCAATGACACCGTAGTGAATCGCCGGTTTGGAAGATCGGTCCTTTCGTTTTATTTCTTGAGTAGAATCGCAATGTGCACACGCACTGTCGCGGTCGGATGCCGTACTATCAGTGGTTGGAATGTCTATATGAAAAGAGGATGCCATGAATAACCGATCATTTGCTCTACCCTGGTGAACGAAGCCTGAAGTTCCATCCTCCCCAGGCTCTCTCATCTTGGGGTAGCGCTGCACCATGTCCTCTAGGATCGTGGGTATTTGGGAGTCTTCTATCAAGTGCTCTGCCTTGAGCGCTTGAAGGCCTTTCAGAAGGACTTCCGGAGGCGCGCTGAGGTGACCAACGCGCTCAAACTTGCCGTCCTTTTTTAGTTTACCGAGGTCGTACTGAACCACTCCTGGACTTGTGCCAGTAGGTTGGCTAACGACGACATCACCAAGGCGAATGTCAATTTTGTCCTCCAACCTAGGGACCCCAGCTCCTATGCCGACCATGAGACCAAACCTGATATGTGGAAGAGAGCTGATCATGCTCGAGGCGGTCGTAGCTGCGGATACGGTGCCGTAGCTTCCAGCGGCCAAAGACGCAATGACAATATTGTGCTCTCCAATCTTGCCCCAAGTATAGGTGTTTGTGTCTTTTGGGTGCTTTTTGAATTTCTGCGGCTTCCGGTGCTTTTCATCGAGCACAGCCATTGCTGCTGCCAACTCCTTGTCGAGAGCGGTAATTATGCCAACGGTATACTGTCGGGGATCTGAAAGCTGCAGCGGCGCCATGCTGTCTCTTCATGAAGGAAGACTCTTCGTTCTATCTTTTGTCGTCCTCCGATGGCCAAATCCAATCAATGAATCCACGTCGGCGGCCCTGTTTAACCAACTGATAGAAGGGGATGTGCATTCTTGGAGGTATTTAAAATGTAATAATGAAACAGGATTTTGGGTGCATATTCAGATTCTTAGAGTCCCATCGAGTTGGGCATCAACGCACCCATGTTCCGCGTCGGACATACTGGCAACGGGTTCTTGTCTGTCAGCGCTCATGATTGGCATATTGGGGGTATTTTCCGACCAATGGCGTGGCTGGGTGTGTTAATTCCGAAAGCTATTAGATATATCAGGCTCATGATCTATGCCTATGAGAGATTCATGTTGCGGGTCGCGGCGTGAGGCTCCATCCGACGTTATCAGGTTTCTTCGGGTTTTCTTTGATATATCCGAACCTTGATCACGGTTTGTTTCGTAAATTTTCAGCGACTATTTTTGAAGCTTGCGTAGGATCTGGGTAGCGATCGGTATGAAGCGTTCCCTGTGTGAGTCGTCTTGATATATGATGTCCACACTGGTCCTTGGGATTCATTTTCGCAGGCCATCGATCAGGAGCGTTTCCAGCACAAACACTCAATACACAACACAGCGCCTCGCCGTTAGGACCGCATCGTAGGTATAATAAAAAAGGTCGTTCAAGCATTGATACCACATGTTTCTTCATTCAGCCTCGTTTTTGTCCGCACAAACCACACACCCCGCAATCTTTCGCGTTGACATACGCCGTACCAGTACACGCCGCGCTCTCGCACCGCCAGCCCGGCGTGAGCAATGGGTGCAGGACGTTTGCGCACATTGCGCACGTAACTGCTGTTTGATGGTTTTCAAACGAGCACATTGAGCAGGTTGGCGATGATGACCTTGCTTCCGCTGTAGTGGTGGTATCTGAAGGGGCTTTTGAGGAAGTTGGCTTCGTAGCAGTAGAGATTGATTGTTGACGTCTTTCGTCTGTTGAAGGTGAATCTTTATCGGAGCCTGATTTCGTAGGGCCATCGTTTTTAGGTTTGACATGCGGTATAGATGATAGTCGTATAGACGAATGACCATCATCTGCAGCCTCTGGCTTGATAGACAATCCCGTCTCTTCCCGTTTTACCACCTGTTTCGCATGTTGTTGATCCTTTCCAGATGAGCGGAGATTCAAAGTCTCGCCATCCGGATCCTGTTTTATCTTTTGTCTTCCGAACAGTCCGTGTAGTTGATCGAGTTCGTTCCTCGCATCGGCGTCATTTGGATCTTCGTCTTCACACACCTTGACCATGTCGCCACCTTGTCTATCCACCATCCTCGATCCATCCACATCAACAGCCGCTTTGGCATCCCCATTCCCCTCTTCGTAATCGCTCGAACCACCATCAACATCCCAATTCTTCGTATCCTCATTCTCCTCTTCCTTCTTAGCATCTTCCTTGCTCTGCTCAAACCTCGCCAACGCCGCCGCTGCACGAAGCTCTCGACCCCGCAAGCTGCCTGCTACTCTCGGCTTCGCAAGCACCCGCTTGCCCTTCTCAAGCTTCACCTTTTCCTCCTCATCTGCCCCAAGCGCAACGCCATTCTTGCCAAACTTTTTGAGAATCCTCTTCTCTTTTCTCTCCTGATACGTCAACACGGGCTTAGCCTTGCGTTTCCTCCCCCGCGATCGATATGTCCCGCCACAGAGATGCTCCGGAAGAACCTCATCTGCCAGAACGCTGTTCTTCTCCCACTCTCCAGTCCCCAGCGTAGCTCCTCTGCCCCAAAGACCATCGCCTTTGTATCCTTCTGCCCATAGCTCCTGCATCTGCGCAGCATACTGGTTCCGGACAGCCCAAAACGCCCTGGAATGGTTCATCTGCGCGCAGTGAGCCAGCTCATGCATCATGACCATCTGGACGTAATTGAACGGGAGCCACCGCCCGCTCCCGGGGGATTTGAGCACCAGCTGAATCACCTCTCCAGCATTGAAATTGCGGCCCACGAATTCTCGGTTGGGGGGGAACTCCTCCAATGACATGACGTGAATATGGTGCTTGCGCATCACGGGAACTTGTTTTGACAAGTCAGTCCGAAATGCTCAAGAAATAGAGGTAGGAATAGAAATGCTCAGGAAAGGGAAAGGGATGTGGATAACAAAACTTCGTAAAAACGTACGACATTGCGCTGCAATCCTTTCCAAAAAGTCCTGCGCAACTTTCTCATCCCGTCCTTTGAGCGGTTTGATAAAGACAATATGCGGGTTTGGCTGTGAAGTCTTCGCGTTAAGACGCTGTATGCCGATTGGCATGATGAAGAGTCTATGATGCTTGATCGAAGTGAGAGAGTGCCTATGCAGCAATCATCAAAGGAGGGATGGATACAATGATAGTACACGGAGAGAAGATGACAAGAATGATTATTCACGAGGATTGGGGATTGCACGCGAAGAGGTGAAAGTTAACAAAAAGTTATCGGCGGTCGTGTCCTGATTCACGGCGGGTTTCTTACACGAAATCAGGTGACCAGTGGCGACTTCTTTTCCACTACCAACTCGGGAGGTATTCACATCAAGGAACAACGACCAGCACCAACAATATCATTAGACAAGTATAAAAAATTGATAGATATATAGTAGTTCATCATAATTAAAATCAGTCTAACGATGCATTTATAATGTGCTTGTAAGAATAACCATCAATTCCAAGGCTCGCGATTCCTAGGTCTGTATATGCAGTGTGCGATGCTACCCTAAAAAGACAACGAATGCTCCCGCCGTGCTGATGCATTTCTCATGTAACTGGCGATTGATGGCAAACATGACGCCGTGCCCGATGCTTCGCTAAATGACAATCTTGTTCGTCCCCAATGCAGTGCCTCTTCACCCGCTGCCGCTCGCCTCCATTCTGGCTTCTACATTGGCAATGGCGCTCTGCACGGCACTGGTCAAGTCTACGTGGAATAGGGGGTTGTCTAAGCCGCTGATGATGGCCCCCTTTCGTCTGAATGCCGGCTTGGGAGATCCTCCTAGTTTCTCTGCGAGATTACTCGGCCTGGGTGTTTCTTCCTCCTCCTCCTCAACCATGGCATTGGCCTTTGCCATTTCTTCATCTCCTGGTCTATGCGCCATGATGGATAGTTCTCTCTTGATGGCATTCTCCTCGGCAACTGCCGCAGCAGAGTCTTTTCCGCCAATCTCTGCGACGCTAAAGATGGACTTCCACCTGTGCGGAATGCCATCCCGCGACTTTGTGGGAGTGCCGAATCCTCCGGCGATGAGCGCTCGCCTGGTCCATCGATTGTTGATGCATGCGACATGCCAGTCTACAACATCCGGGGCAGTGTATGTATCGAGCACGTTCCGCACATCGATAAGGCGCTGGACCGACGTGATGTCCACATTGTTAACGGAGCTAAAGTCTAGAATAATGGCCTTGAGGGTCGGCTTTTGGCTGTGCTCGGGATCCTCTCTGGATTTTCCAGGATTTCTAGGACCTGGATTGCTCCACGGCCGGTCGCCCTTGCGCTCATACGTCTCTGGGCTGGATCGGCGTGTGTGCGCATAGATGAAGCTGGTCAAGTACTCCAAGGCATAGTTTGCGCTTGGATAGTTGAATCCCTCGGAGAAACGGTAGATGAAGATGCCAGGGTATGGGTTTTCCAACTCGACTTCGGGGTTGGAGCCATCGCCGTGGTCAAGCGGTAGGAAGATATTCCTGGCAGCATTCTCAGCCCTTTCCTCAAATGTGCCATATTCTCCCACCAGCTGCTTGTGGTCTTCTCCAATAACGTGATCTCCCAGGACAGAGTGGACTTTGACTTTGCCCAAGAATCGCCCACGCGCCTTCAAGATGCGATATATGAGAACGGCAGCCGATATGCACACGGTGGCATACAGACCATCCTCAATCTGCGCAAACACGCTGATGAAAACACCGATGAAGAAGATGAAAACTTCTATGGGCGAGACTCTCCAAAACTGATACAGCGTGTTGGGCGGCGTGATCAAGTCGCCGACGGCGTGGATAATAACCGCTGCGAGAACTGCATTAGGGATGTAGAAGAAGACGGCCGTCAAAAGGTAGGTGGCCAAGAGCACAACTAGTCCGGTGACGAGTCCCGCGGCAGGAGTTCTGACGCCGGCCTTCGATTTGATGGCTGTTCGGCTGAAAGACCCGGTGGACGGATAGGCACCGAGAAACGAGCCCAACAGGTTGGTCATGCCAATAGCAACCATTTCCTGCGATGGGTCAATGGTGTAGTTATTCACCCTGCCAAACGACTTGGAGATGGCAATATGCTCCACCAACATGACGATAATACCTGCCGGGAGGTGGGAAGCAAACTTTGACACAAGTCCTGGCGGGATCTCTGGAACGCCGTTGTGCTCGAATCCTAAGGCTGATGGTTAGAAACAGAATCATCTGGATGCCTATATCCTGGGAGGCTTTGGTAGCTTACCTTTTGGAACAATCCCTAGAACACGAACCGCCGGGTGAGACTTCCGATCTTTGTTGATCAGCCAACTCACCATGGTGTAAAGGAGAATGACAAACACTGTCCGCATGGTGTTGAGGAAAAAGATGATGCGCTTATTGGCTGGCCACCTGTCGGCGGCTCTGGTCAAAGCGTATCGTATCAGATAGAGGAAGAAGAGCGCCGTTAGGCCAATGGCGGCATCGAGCTTGGTATCAGGCAAGTGTTTTAGAGTGTTGATGATGACTCTGTACGCTGGGTCTCTGTTGGAAAAGCCTGTGATGCCAAACAGCGAAGGGAGTTGACTGGCGCCAATAGTAATGGCAGACCCCGTCATGAAAGCCGAGAGTGAGGTGATGGAGATGAGATCAACTATCCAGCCAAGGCGAAGGAGGCCAATGCCGAGAACAATACTTCCGGCAATGACGGCAAACGCCGTAGCTACAATGTTTGGAGGGAGATCACTTGCGACGTCTGCCACCACCGTTCCCACGACGGTGGACAAGACGGCTACCGGGCCAATGGATATGTCTTTGGATGTACCAAAGATCCAATAAGTGGCTGGTCCAATAAAGGACGAGTACAGGCCGTACTGAGGAGGGAGGTTCGCCAGCAATGCATAGGCCATGCCCTGGGGGACGAGGACAGCTCCGATAGTGATGCCGGCCACAACATCGCCGGCGAGCCATTGCAAGTTGTAATGAGGAAGCCAGGATATGAACGGGAAGAGAGACTTGACATAGCTAACGACCTCGCCCCGCGAAGGAAGCTGTTCATTGAGCCATTCCGAAGTAGTAGGCGGCGCCTCGATTGGGTTCTCGCCACTTCGGGTAGAAAAGACAGACTCGCCTCTGGTGACTGGGTCTTCGTACCGGTAGGCATTTCCGTCGTCGTCCTGGAGTTTGATGCCCAGGACTCGAGCCAATGCTTGCCCGGCCTTGGTCGACGCTCCGCTCGATGTTCCACTTCCACTCATGGCCGGAAAGAAGGCTGGCCCCTGACGGTGTGGCGGAGGTGAGGGAAGAAGCCCAGCTGGGCGAGAGATGCAGGGGGACGAGGAGAATGAGAGCAACGGTGAGATGTCTGGCCTTTAGTACAACATGTTCTCTATCCCTTGGTTGCTGTATGTTCGGACCGTCGCTTTGCTTCCCCCACCAAAAACTACCGTCGTGGCGATGGTCCGGCGCGGCGCGATGTCGGCAGCGGCTCTGGCACGCACACTGCAGTTCTAGAGCATCAGCTGAGACAGTCACGGCAGGGGACTTGTAAGCTGCAAGAGAAGACGCATGAGCTATTTGGATCAACAAGACATGAGGGATCTGGTGCTAGATGCTGGGTGCAGGGCGGGGAGATGGCGTATGGCGTCTCGTGAGCTGAGCAACGAGACGTGGTTGGTGCAGCTAGTCGAGTAAGATGGCTTACCTCGTCGACGATCAGCAACCAAAGGAACAAGAGTTTTTCACACGAGTGATAATGATACACAACTCAAGGTAGGTGTGAAAAGATGAGAGAGCGAGGAGTTGAAGAAAAATCTGAAAAATATACCCAGTAGGTATATAAAGAAACAAAGAAACGCACCAGATGCTGTGCTTGCCTCGAACCCTGAACAAAGTTGATGGTAGCTGCCGAAGAGCCGTGACGGGCAGTCGGGAGGCTTGCTGCTTAAACCCATCTGACAAATAGTCGTATGAGGGAATAGAAAACCCACGAAGAATGAAGATGGACATTCCGAAAGGGGCTTGGATGTCTTTCCGAACGTCATGTTCTCCATCGAATCCGCCGTCGAGACGCATCATCAACGGGGTAGATAATTGGATCGTGGGTTTGGGCCAGGGGGCCGAGCACGGCTTCAGCAGAATCTCCCCACAAATCAGCCAAATGTCGCCATCGCGTCTATGCCGCTTCTGTTTTAGAGCGGCTGGGCCATCTAGATTCTTGATGTGATTCCCGCGCAGAGTTTTGTTTGTCTCGGTGACAAGAGTCGAGTCAGGGGATCACGGGGATGCACAGGAGCGGCCATTTTCGCGAGGTTGACAGACGGGCGTTGCATCTCCGGCAAAGAAGCGGTACGAGCAAGTCAGCTGTCTGCTGCTGCTGGTGGCGTCAGATCCTACCCCAGGCTAATCTTGAACTCTTCCGTCAATGGTAAAAGGAAAAGGGTAAAAAATGCTGCACCAGCCAGCACTAATACGACGCCCCCATCGTTGAACGTGGCCTCCCGTCCCGTGTAAGTGAGTTGAAGGCTAAAGTGCGAGTCCTTCCCTGCCTTGAACAAGCTTATTCGGGGCTGCCTATGACCACGTGAGCTCTTTGCAAAGATGTGCCTCTGTGCAGTACAGTATAGTAGCATTGGCCGTCTCCAACTAGATGCGCTCGTAACAACCCCAAGCAGGTCTCAGCCGAGTGCAGACATCCAGCCATGTGATGCCTCGTGATGCGGGGGAGCTGAACCGTCAGCAGGGAAGTGAAGTCATCTTATGCAACCCCGTTGGATGCTGTTGCTGGGAATGGCTGCGATGTGGATGGAGATTTGCAATGGCGATGCGGAGCTTGGATGGCAAAGTCGAGGGGGAGCGAGAGTTGAGGTTCGATGACCAGGAGAGATTCATGGATTCGGATCTTCGCGCGCCCGACGTTCCGGAGTTGCTGCATCTACAGCGCTAGGTGCGGCGGCTTCAGCGGCCAAGCCCCGCTAGAGGCTGGCGGTTTGGGCGCTGTAGATGAGGCTCTAGAGCATGGATGGAGGCGCAACTCGACGTCATCTCAGATCAAATGCACTGCAAGCTTAAGGCGGCTGACAAAAGACGATGCATGTCACCGTCGATAATCGACATCAAGGTGCATGTTGGGCCATGATCACGATAGCTGACCGAGTCTGCGAATTTCGAGCTCTCCTAATGCAACATCCCGCGGAGAGAAAGGCAATCACGCCATACATTATTGCTGCCAATGGCCGAAGGGAGAGCTGCTGATTGACGCCTTGGCTCATGCAGCCATCTCATCTCATCGGATCGTGTCCATGTTATGCTAAGCAAACCCCCCACGTCAACACCAACCGCGTGCTTCTTTCGAACCTTGCACCATCAACATCACCAATTCCCTCCGCAACAATGTCCGGGTCCGGCCCTCATCCCGCCCAAGAAGCTCCCGCCGCTCTGCTCTCCGTCCAGCCTCTCCAACCCCCGCCATCCCCACAGACGCCTCGCGCCCTGCGACGCCTCCAGTCCGCTCACGCCCTGGGCGCCCGAGCAGCCCAGCAGGCGTCGCTCCTCTCCCAGCGCCGCGAACGTCCTCTGTCTCCGAGTCGAAACACCGCCGACTCTGCTGATTCCACATTGATCGCGAATGTCACTGCCATCGCCAATGCGAATCTCAACCCGAATGCCGCCGCAAACTCGACGGCACGGGCGCGAGGTCGTGCCAACAGCGATGCCACGCTGCCTCCTCCACCATATAATCCGCCCGCTGCGGTAAACACTCGACGATCAGGCGTCAAGAAGCCCAACTTTTCGCATGGCCATCTTTCCCTGCAACAAATCATCCGCGAAGGCCCCAACGATGGCGACTTCAACGGAGCTTTGGAGAGCGCACGGTGGAAAGTCATTGACGAGGGCGTCAAGGCTGCCGAGGATGGAATGGTGCGTCACTTGCCCCCCTAAAGATATATAGAGAGAGAATGAAGCTGGCTGACCCTGAGATGTTGCGATTGGAATAGTCTCCCATGAGAATCTACGTCTGGCTCGTTCTCCTTGACGCCCCCATCATGTCCACAGACGAATATCTCTCCCTCATCCACCGCGGCGCCTCGCCCGCCTACGCCAAGATTCGAAACGACACATTCCGCACCTTGACCACCGATCCTCTATTCAGACGGCGCGTCAGCGAAGCGAGCTTGATTAGGCTGTTGAATGCCATTGCCTGGCGGCTTCACGATTCAAAGGAGGAACGCCAGAGCCGTCCGGGCAGCAGCCATTCGTCTCTGCCCGCACGGGAGACTGTTGGAGGCAGTATCTCTGGCCAATCCCAAGCCAGTACGTCTTGACGCAATGAGTCAACGGTATACATGTCTGTGCTAACACCTTGTTTCGCGTGTAGGATCTGGCGCAGTTCTCGAACCAGGCGTCTATGTTCAGGGCATGAACGTCCTGGCCGCCCCTTTCCTCTACGCTGCGCGAAGTGAAGCCGAAGCCTTCGTCGCCTTCCACTCTCTGCTCACCCGCGAGTGTCCAGGCTACATACGAGGCGCCATGGACGGCGTGCACCGCGGGCTCGCCCTGGTGGACAAGGTGTTGGCGATTGTCGATCCCAAGCTCAGCATGTATCTGACGACAAAGGGGCTCTCGGCCGAAATCTACGCGTTTCCCTCTGTGCTGACGCTGTGTGCGTGTACGCCGCCCCTGCCTGAGGTGCTGCGTCTTTGGGACTTTTTGTTTGCGTACGGGCCGCATCTTAATATTGTCTGCATTGTGGCACAGCTCACCATTATGCGGTCACAAATTCTTCAATCTCAAAGGTATCTTGTTATTACTTCAATCAAGTTGTTGTTTTAGCTTCTGACGTTTTTCTTGTTAGTCCAAACAAGCTGCTACGATCGTTCCCACAACTGAATGCCGACCTCGTCAAGAGCGTGACCATCAGCATCATCAAGAAGATACCCGACGACCTCTACGAAGAAATCGCCACGCACGCCATGTAAAGAGCAATGAGAAGAAGTACAATTCCCAGAACTGAATGTGATGGAATTCACAAGTTAGACCATTGGCAGGCCCTGCAAAAGCCCAGCCACGTGTTTGATGCGTCGCTGGTAATGACGACGCTGACTTGATTAACCAAGTTGGCATCGCGGCTCTCCGGCCCGGCATCAGTCTTGGCATCGGGGAATTCTCCCTGGAAAAAAGCACCCGAGAAGATACTTGTCCCTTTCTTCATATGGGCACATGTCTAGACGTATTTGTTATTGGTGAAGATTTAAAGACGAATCTAGAGTGTCAACTGATGGATCATGAAGAAACGGAATCAATGCGATTTACATGCAGTTCAAGAGACGGAGATGGATGAAAGAAGAACGAACCCGGCAGCGTTAGTCACAGGAGACTGGGGTACAGCTGCAGCTGCAGGGACCACAGCGCCAAGAAAGCATTACGACTCAGATGATGAAACCCGCAACCATACAGATAAATGAAACCTAATGAGGATTTACGTCAAAGAAATAGGGGGTCACGAACAAGGAGGTCTGCGGTACACGTCCTTTGAGCAGCCCTCCTTGGAAATATGGCGGTTTGCACTGAATCTTTGGAAACAAAAGTAGTGGTTTTGTATGTCAATGTATTACAGTGTATATGTACTTCTAAACCGAATAAAGGATTTATGCAAAAAAATAAAAAATAAAAACCAAGGGCCATGTAAAGAATCTTTCAAGACCGAAAATGCCATGGGCCATGCATCAAACAAGGGGGGGGGGGGGCAAAATCCAACGTGCCACTCGTGAGGAAGACAAAACCAAAAATGCTGTTCGCAATTACAAAAAAAATGTGAAAACGCCACTTGTATCCATGCAGAAAAGAAAAAGGGAATTGAAAAAGTAAAGAAAAAAGGTATACACAAGAATCGAAACCAAAACCCGGTGGAGGAGGGGGCACTGAGCCGCTTGTTACATGTACGGTCGACTTTTTGAAATCCAAAACTCGCATATGGCTTTGACATGTCGAAAATGGAATCATTACTTTTTGGAAAAGTCATGTTTCTTTTTGAGGGCGAATGAGAAATCTTTTGGTCTGTTTTCTCTTCTTCATTTTTGTGATTGTCTCGTGTCGCTCGTGATGAATGCCGGAGAATAACATGTGTGTTTGCCGTCTAATAGGCAGGACAACCGCCCTGGGCCCGGTGGAAGGCACTGGAGAAAAACTCCTGCATGGCGGTGTAGTGGAAAATGATGCCGCCCAGGACGGCCGCGTGCCACAGGTTGTGGCTGCCGCCAATGTAGTCGAAGCAGCCGGGGAACCAGCGCTCGGGGACCTTGCTGGCGTAGACGATGGCGCCGCTAAGGTAGACGAGCAGGGACTTTGAGATGGGGGAGTAAAAGTTGTAGACAAACTCGCGCCCGTGGGAGAAGTTGAGCTGCAGGATGGGCATGAAGCCCGTCAGGGCGAGGCCGACGAAGAAGCCGACGCGGGCCCAGGACATGTCGGCGCCGTTGAACTTGGGGTGCCACGGCAGGACGACGCCGGCGATGCCGAGCACGGCGGTGAGACACATGTACGTCCACCGGCTGACGGGGTCGCAGTAAAACGCCGTGTACTCGGTCGTCATGATGGAGGCGGCGATGAGCAGCGAGATGCCGGTGTAGTCGACGCAGGCAAACATGGACACGGCCTTGACGTCGGCGACGGCGCTCATGGTGTGCCAGATGGTGGAGCACACCAGCGTCAGGCAGGCCATCATGAAGAAGATGGCGGCGACGACCACGTCCGTCTTGGTGCTGAGGTAGAAGTTGGCGCTGCTGGGGTAAAAGTAAAAGGCCACGGCCAGCACCAGGATCAGGCCCAGGGCGTGCGACCAGATGTTGATGAACTCGTTGGACATGTTGAAGATGGACTGGACGCACTCGATCTTGGTCTCGCGGAAGCGGTAGCCTCTCTTGATGTGGGGGTTGTTTCGCCACGGCGAGGGCAGTTCGTCGTACAGAAGCAGCCCCCGATCTCGCGCCAGCACGACGGCCTGCTGGATGTGCTCCTCCAGGGACAGCGCAGCCCGCACGGCACGCTCGATGCCCTCGTCCACGGCAATCTTGGCCCGCTCGATGCTCTCGTTGGCAACCCGGCGGCCCTCGTCCATAAATGCCTCGGCGGCGGTGGCGGCGTTGGCGAAGCCCTGCTCGCGCAGCTTGTAGGCGCGGGTTTCGAACTCGGACAGCATGTCCTCCAGCAACTCGATGCCCACGACGGCCTTGTCGTGCAGCGTCTCGGTGGCCTCGAGCGTCTCCTGGTACCGGGTCTCGAGGGTTTCGACCATGATGTGGAGCCTGCGTCGACCGGCGCCGATGACGTCCTCGGACGCCTGGGAGCATCTGGTGCGGACCGTCTGAAGCGTCGAGAAGGCGCGGGAAATGCTCGAGTCCTTGCTGAGGTCGACATAGTTCTCGACAAACTCCAGGCGGCGCTCCAGCTCGGTCAGGAACAGGTCGACCTTGAGCAGCAGATTCTCCTCGCCCTCCATGATGTGGCCGACAATGGACTTTCGCCGCGGGATAAAGAAGGAGTGCCGTCGTCGTTTTGCTTGTTGAGTGTCGCGGCGCTGGTCAGAGCCACTGGCAGCGGCAGTCGAAGCAGCGTCCTTGTCGTGGGAGAAGCCGCACGCGGACGTGAGGGCGGTTGTGACGCCCGCCATTTTGGATGAGAGGATGAGGAGAGTTTAGGAGAAGTCAGGCGCTATCATGTCAGTTTAAGGATTCCAGCGACGGTATGTCTCGGATTTGGACGGAGCGCCAGACGGGCTGTGTAGAGGCACGAGCGCTGATGAGTGCGGACGATTGGCCCAAAGCGAAAAGGCGGCGAACCCTGATTGATTGATTGATTGTCCAGAAGATTTTTTAAAAAAAAAAAAAAAAAAAAAAAAAAAAGAGGCGATAAGGGAAAAGAATGAAGACGAAAAGAGACAACGATGCAAAAGACGATTTGCTGATCGGAAGAAGCGGGACGAAGCGGTTAATTGGCTAGCAAAGGCTTTTTGTTGATGGTTCGGTTCGTCTTGATGCGGGTCGGGAGCTGGATTGGGGGATTGAAAGCCGCCAGAGGGGCCGCGATTGGCTGCAGAGGCCGGGGGGGAAGATGCAAAGATGCACAAGAGGGCGGCACTAGAGACTGACTGCAGCTCAACAGTTTCTGTGGTTGAGTTGAGGAGTTTTTGAAGTTGGAAGTTGGAAGTTGGAAGTTGTGAGGAGAGATTTGAGGCGCTTGGGGATGAGCAAAGAATGAGATGGACTGAAAGTGCAAGTACTTGACAGAATGCGAAGTCAAGTGCAAATGCAGGTACAGGCACAGCACAAAACCGGCGAAACAGTACAGCAGGTACAGGTAAGATGGAAGTCGGGAGGCTGGTAGCTTTGTACTTGTACGTTTTAGCACCGCAGCACAGCCGCGGGTGAGACAAATCGGGCCAAAGACTGTCAGAGAGCCTTTTAGTGACGGACAAGCCCGAACTGTGTGTTTCTGCAAAGAATGTGCGGGCAAAGCCATGCTCCAGTATTTTCTCAAGACAAACGGCCTCGATTGGTTTGTTTCCGCAGATCGGAGTATTTTTCGCCATGGGCCAGGTTCTTTGTGGCCAGTGAGACGGATGGACAGGACAGGCCTCGGGGATCCCTGGTACGTACAAGTACGGCAGCCCATCCAGGTGCTCTGGGGGGTTTGTTCACATGCCAACTGCTAATGGTCCCTATAATGGATTGAACATTGGCAAAAATAGATGACAAGGTGGCAAGAGAATTGAGATCAGCAGCTCAACCTCCTTCGTCTACACTCGTATCAACCGTAACCAGAATTACCGCAACTGCACTGGCGAATCGTCATCTCGTCCCAGGTACCTGCAGTAAGTCAATGCACTGCAAAGTTCCAACTGAGTTGCCACCTCCATTCAGGGATCATTGCCCTCCTAGGCAACCAGGGTCAATACCAATGGGAAATATATGGACGGAATCCCAGCTGAGCGCCAAAACGGCATCAAGTGACATCTGCACGTACAAGGACCGGGACGGCAGACGCTCAATTGATTCGACAACGGGCTGCGTCTTTTCCTCCACACTCTCCTTTTACTGTAAACCACCACTTGCTAATTTCCCGCCTTTCCGGCTCCCGGTGCTGCATTATGTACCTCCTACCTACTAAGGTACACGTGCGTGGCCATTCATCTCATCTCATTTGTGTCTGGTGCATCTTTTGCACTGGCGGCGCTCGGGATGCTGTGGCCCGTGCAATTACGTCGCCAGGTTGTGAATCAATTCTAATTCCAACTCTACCTTGTTGTTTCGTTTGCTAACCAATTGATACGTGTAAATCACATGTAAGTATTATAATGGTATTGTAGGTACTTGTAATATCATACACAGGTGCACGTACGAGTACAGCACTGTCACTCGCTGTAACAAGCGCTATCCCTGCGCAGCCTTGCGCTAAACAACAGTGAACCTCCAGCGCAAAGCAAAAAACACCAACCAACCGCTAGTCCCCAATTCCCGTCAGCCTTGCTGTTTTGCAGTTTGTCATTCCTTCATCAACCACCACCACCATCCCATCATCAACCATCCCATCCTCTCCGATCCCCCTCCTCAACTCTCAACTATCAAAAACACCAACAATGGCCATTGAAAAGTCCATCACAGACCCTTCCCTCGCCGCCGTCCTCCAAATCTCCGACCAAGCCCGCGACCAAGCCCACGCCCTCCTCCAGCTCGCCGACACCGCCAGCGACGGCCGCGCCACCGCCGACGTCCAGGCCGAGATCGCCAAGCAGCAGAAGCAGCTCTTCACAAACATCTCCCACCTGCGCGGCCTGCACCGCAACGCCTGCCTGTCCGCCCGCGACACAAAGGCCCAGACCGCCGAGGCCCGCCAGGAGGTTGATCGCTTGCATCTGCAGCTGCAGAATCTCTACTATGAGCAGCGCCATCTCCAGGGCGAGATTACCGGCTGCGAGTCATACGAGTGAGTCTCTACTTCTCGAGGGACCTCTTGTGTTTTTTTTTTTTTTTCACGTGTCAATGGCTGATTTGTACGTGTTACTTTTCACATAGTCACAAATACCAGCAGCTGCCTCTCATCCCCGTCGAAGAATTCCTCGCTCTACGTCCCGAATATGTAGACTCCAACGACGACGAACGCATGTTTGCGCGCATCGAGCACGAGCGCGAGGAGCGCGAGATCCTGGAGCAGCGCCGCCAGGAGCTCCTCAAGCGCAAGCAGAAGCTCATCAACGATAACAAGCGGAGAAAGGATGACTTGGCCAATCTTGACCAAGATTTGGAAAAGTTTATCGATGTATGTTTTCCATGCCATTGGCAATTCCTTGTTATTATTGTACTGCCATGGTGCTGTGTGCTGATTCTCCGTTGAAGGCTGCGAAACCGATTCTCGAATTGTTCGAAAAGGCACCTTGAGAAGCATCAATTTTCATCTGTTTCTTCTCTCCTGCATCACTCCCGCACTCTCAGTGTGCGGTGATAAACTTGCACCATGTTGCTATATCAAAGACGCGCGTAACACCTAATGAAGGCCATCAGCAGCCACTTATGAGACCATGAAATCACGCAGAGTCCAGTCCGTGCTCCGAACGGGCTTTTCAACGTCGGAATTTGGTGAGATATAATCCGGTTTCAGTACACCTTGGACACAAGGGTCAGAATATGAAGTCTACGTTGGGTGGATTCTCGACCATTGGCATCATGCTAAACCTCTTACAAATGTCAACAGCCGAGTCTTTTGTACTGCTCCGTTGGATATAATTTGAGACTGGCCGGCTGCGCTACAAGTGTGCAAATGACAGCAACAGGGGGAACACTACAATGCCTCCTCCATGCACTTCAATTCTCCTTATCTCGGGACAATACATATCAAATTAATACCAAATACAACTCAAGAAAAAAGCATTTGCTATCGTGTAAACTACCCTGAGCCTAATGTACAAACTTACACGCGCATCTGTCGCGAGCCGAAAATAATAAATAGTGAATAAGGCAAAGTCTCCAGCACGGAGAACGGGCCTGTAGCAATCTGCCCCTGAGAAGCTTCGAGTAACAGAGGCCAATGACAAGAAAGCAACTCCATCGTCTAGACGCAGTCGAGACACGTATCTGTGGTCGTGTTCCCCCCTTTTTTCCACCTGGTTGTATAGGTAGGACTAGTAGTTGAGCTCGCCGCCTCCGCTTCCGTTTCCAGATACTTGATCGAGATCTTCATAGCTCTTCAAGCTGCGGCCCTGCACAGCTTCCCGTGGACCAGCAGCTGCTCCACCGGCGCCGTCTCCCCATCGGGATCCGCCGTTGCGATTGCGACCACCTCCGCCATCCCAGCGACCGCCGCCTCCACGGCGTTCGTAGGGTCCGGAACGGTAGCCGCCTCGTCCGCCCGACATTCCGCCCCGACGGATGGGACCGCCTGAGCGGTCATCGCCCATGGCGTTCCAGCCATTAGCCTGCATGCCGGCAAACAACGAGGGGAAGTTTCCGGGGCCCATGGGGAATCCAGGCATGCCCATGACGCCATTGATGGAAAAGTTTTGCAAGTTGAAGCCACGAGGAGTACCCGATGCCGACTGGCCGTTGGTAGGCGGGAAGTGACCGTTGGAATTTGCGTCGGTTCGCGAGGGGGCAATGTGTGCTGGATCAGACACGTAGGCATTGATGAGTTCAAACTAAAGCCTGTGTTAGTAAATTCGAAAGGACGGGAGAGGTGTTTCAACGTTACCTCCTGCTTCAAACCGTCAAGCCACTCGGTATGTCTCTTCTCCACGTGCTTCTTCCAAAAGTGATCTTCTTTGAAGAGCTTTGTGCATTCTGGAACTTTGCATCTCCATTTGTGCTCATCCTCCTGCTTGACATATTTGCTCAACTCCTCGTCGAGGGCATCCTCGACGGGCTTACCGCCAAGCTTGCGAATGTCAACAGTGCTGGGCTCGAGGATTTGCATTAGCTTATCCTCAAAAGTCTTGACCCAGTTGTAGGCACGAAGCAGCTGTTGCTCGGTTTTAGAAGACGTATTACGGAACTTCTTGTCCCCTTCGGCAAGCTCTCCGTCGACATCATTCTCGGCATCGCTGCGCTTCTTATCGGGAAACGGCTCTCCATTGGCGCTGGCCCTGGCAACAGCCCTTGCGGACGATGACAGAGTGCTTTGAGGGCGGCGGAGATGCCCTCCTGCACACTTGCGTGTAAGCTCGTGCACAGAGTCACTCTCAAATACGCAAAAGAAACAGAAGTGGAAGACTCTGCGGAGATACTCAATCAACAGGTCAAGCTGCTTCTTCTTCACGAGCATGTCTTCGTCATCAACTTCTTCGTCTTCCACAGCCCCCTCCTCTTCTTCCTCTTCCTCGGGAATACCTTCCTCATCCTCGTCCATTGCCTCGTCCATGCCGGGCTCCCGAGTCTTGGTCTTCTTTGTTGGCGTAGGGGGGATAGCAGGCTGCAGACGACCAGCGTTTTTGAGATCCTCCACTTTTTCTTCAACCTTCAAGATGGCCTGGAAGTCAGAGCCGTACTCTTCTTCATATTTGTTGACCAGTCTTTGAACAAGGCGAAGATCCTTTTCAATTCGCTCCGGCGCAGAGAACAAGTCCCACAGAGCCTTCTTCCGTGGGTGGAGCGGCGGGTTGTGAACTCCAACGTGGCAAACAAA